TATTGTTGCAATAAAATTATTTAACCCTTTTTCAATTCCATGTTTGTTAAAGTGTCCCCTCCAAAATTGATGAAAAATAGCTTTTTTCAACTAGCGGCTGATATCTCCTTGTGCTTCGTATGGTCATTGTGCATTGGCCAAATTCTTATATTGGCCTTGGATATATTTGAAGATGTTAATTAACTTTCTAAGACATCTTCTTTCTTCTAAACAGATGTAATTTAAACTTCATTATCAGTGCTTGTTTTAGTTCATTATTCCTAAGACTATAAATAAGAGGATTTATGGAGGGAATAATCATGACAAAAACCAGAGACACCACCTTATTGTCTTCTAGTAAAAAGGAAGAGGTGGGTCGCACATACATACTTAAGGTGGTGCTGTAAAATATTGCCACAACAATGAGATGGGAAGAACAGGTTGAGAAGGTTTTTGCTCTTCCTTTTGTAGATCTGATTTTAAAGATGACTTTGATGATAAAGATGTAGGAAGTCAAAGTTAGTAAGAATGGGCCAAAACCTAAAAAGGCTCCTTCTACGTATGTAATAGTTTCTATGGTATAAGTCTCAGAACACGAAAGCTTCATCAAAGCAGTCAGATCATAGAAGAAGTGATTAACCCTGTTAGATCTGCTATAGCATGCTATAAGAGCAAAATAAGCATGGGGAAGAGTATCAGCAAAGCCAACTAACCAACAACATGAGGCAAAAACAACACATAATTTCTTGTTAATAGTCACATTGTAATGTAACGGTTCACAGATAGCTACATAGCGGTCATAGGCCATTGCTGAGAGCAGAAGGAAGTTAGAGCTTGTGAAGGCCAAGAAACTGTACATTTGTATAACACAAGCTGGCAGAGATATTGTCTTGTCCTTTTCTAGGAGAGAGTAAATAGTCCATGGCATTGTAACTGAACTAAAACAAATATCAACCACTGACAGGTTCATAAGAAAGAAGAACATAGGTTTCTTCAGTTGTTGACATCCACATCCAAGACCTATAATAAGCATATTAGCTATGATGACTTGTAGATAGGCTAAAGAGAACAAAATAACAAAGACAATTTGATGGCCATTGTGAATGCTAATTCCAAAAATGAGTAAATAGGTGGCACATGTAGAATTTTCAGGCTTTACATCCGGACCTGTTTTTCTTCCTGTCATGTAAAATAATTAAACAGAAAATATATATGGTATTTATTATTTCTGTTTATTGGTACAGCAAATGATTGTGTACTCCAGTGGTGTGCAGAATGCCTCCAGGTTGCCCTATTGCAAGGGCAGTTTAGAAAATTACAGCGACTGTAGATTACAATTGCAAAAGTAATTCTTAATAAAAATTAAATTACAACATAACTTGTGTAGCAAACACATAAATACTGTAAATGTTTCAGCAAAATTGGAGATTCTGTTGAAATGAACTTTCGAACATGGAAAAAGTTCTAACTCGAACTTAGAACTCAATGCAAGTCTATGGGGGTAAGGGTCGAACAGACCGCGGACATCCCATAATGTTCGGCGTTCGGCGAACGCTAGAACATGGACTGGTCGACTCGAACATGCAGCCCATCCTTAATGATCACGTGTGATCAGTGTGCTGCTAACAAGATGATTGTCAACATGTATTTACATATATCATTCTCAAGAAATCAAAATGGTCTCTGTGTTCTAAACTAGACTGTGAAACATGGTAAACAAAAGCTGACCAATATCTTGTTTCAATTTCGTGCACAAATTGTTTTTCATGCCCCATCCTGGCTTAGTAAACGTTTCTTTTTATACTTCCCTTGGTATGCAATCTTTGTGTGACATTTCTATTTGTATACTGCAAGTACAGCAAATCAATTTCCCTAGTGTAAGCTAGGCTTGTTATGTCTTGTATGAAAAAGATGTAACCTGTGTGCATTGCTGTATATATCAAACCTATTTATACTTGAGAAACCATTTTTTAAATAGAAGTAATTTCCCCCCTGACTAACCATGTCATATTGTCTGATAATAATCTCAGATGAATACAACATGCAAACTTTAGGTTTAAGTTAAACTTATGTGGAAATTAATCAAAATGCTTTAAATGTTCAGACTCGCAAAATGTTCACTGCGTCTGTTGCATCACACACTTTTTACAACTGAATATGTTGAATATTTGCATGTACTGTTAAAAAAATTATAAAATAGAAATTATATATCTAAAAAAATAAGTTTTAGTTACCTCAAAATACATTTTCTAAACTTAAAGTTACATGCCCATTGCAATCTGTAGACATCTATGATTTTCTAACGCTGTCAGCAGCTCTGTCCGGTGTCCCACCCAGCTCACTGACGTCATTGGTTGCCAGGAGCCAGGTGGGACACAAGCCAAAGCATCCCAGCCTAACTCCTGGCAATGTCAGTGAGCTCAGCAGCACAGCACAGAACATCACAGGTCGCTCTTGGCAACCTGGGACACAACCCGGTTGCTTCCCAATGAGATGCCTGCCTCAGGCTACCTCTCATTATAGGGATAGCACCGACTGCATATCATAGATGTCTGCCCTAGAAGTGAATTTATTCATGAAATGCAGGTGCGGTGTAGGGAGGAGAGCTCAGCCTCCTGTGACAGCGCGGCCTGTCTCCGCCCACACACCGCTCTGCCGGACTGTGATAGGAGGCTGAGAGGTGTGGGAGGAGAGACGCCGGCCGCTCACAGCGATCTCCTCCCGCAGCGCTCGGCCGGCTGTCACACTTTCTTTCCTCCCCGTTGGGACACAGAGCCCGACGGGGAGGAGAGAAAGCAGGGATGCACCGGTGTATCGGCAGGAAAATGGCACTTTCGGTATTATGCCAAAAGTGCCATTTTCGGCCTATATGTTTTGGCGGCCGATATATAGGTGCATCCCTAATAAAAACAAATTCAGTACATCGCTGCAATACATGCACATTTCAATAGGAAAATACCTGTTGATTCTGACAGAAATCCAGTGAGTTTTCCTTCATGCAGTGAGCTGACAAAATTGCATCTGCTGTACTGAAATCGCAAGCAGAATTATTTAAAGCCCACCCCTGTATGTGTGTATGCTCTTGTATGTATGCATCATGGCAATTTAAACTGGTTTCACTGTTTCTTAACTCTTGTGGTCATTTTATTGCACATGAAAGTAAAAAAGGTGAGTGGGAAAAGTAACACTAATTGAACTTCCCCTGCCTTGTAAATGAAGCTGACGTTCAGGAAATGCTTTTATGCACTCTATCTTCAATCTTTTGATTCATTGCAAAGGGTTTATCTGAGAGACAAGAGTTGGTAAAAACAAGGACATTTTGTAGGACTTCAGAGGTACCAGGACTGATATTATCTCTCTTAAAGCGGAAATAAAAAAAATTGTGAGCAGGCAAGCTCTTTATTGCAGAAGAGACATGCTATGTCTCACCTGCAATAAAACAAACTTACTTTCTGTGGTTTTCTTACAACTGTACTTTTATCTGTGTTGTATTACTGCTTCATAACCCTACAGAATTTGCAAATATTACAGCTGAATTTAAATCAGCCCCAAAAATAAAGGATATTTTGAGGAAATATCTATGGAAAGAATGTGGGAGGATAGCATAAAATGTTAATTACACTTACCCCTGTAATGTCCTTTCCCTTTCGGGAATGTAATGGTACTGCTTGCTTAGTGCTTACTATCCATGCTTTCTCTACTTCCAGTCCCTGCTATTTGAGGAAAGGCATTATTCAATGCCATAGACGCCTATGGGGCCACCATTTGCAGTGATTTCTTTTTTTTACATGAAAATAGCAGGAACAGGAAGTAAAGAGTGTATGGACTGGAAGCATTTACCTAACGAAAGTTTTAATCCTTGCCCATTCTATCCAAAATGTAACAAAATAAAGGCTAGAAAATAGTCTTTAAAGCCTTATATGAGTAATCCATACTATTTTGTATCACCAGCTTTCAATTAAACCGAAAATATATTAATATTTTATTAAATCAGCCATCTTCCCACAACTTAATTAAACACACACACACACACAATGATGGGCTTAAATGGTTTATAATTGTGTTCAGTCAGTCTTGTTTGATCCTGGCTTACCTGCACACCATCATAACCAGTTTTCTGATCTTTCTCTTCTCTACTGCAATTAAGAACTACAGCTTCTTGACCAACCTTTCCCTGTTTGTGATTGGACAATGATGTAGAAATAACACAAGTAAGGTGATCATCACTCTGCTTTCTAATCCTGTCAACATGTTCATCCTGTTAACTAGCAGCATTACAAATCAAAGAAGCTGGGATTGGGTCCTAGTGCTCACCCAAATAGTCTCCCAGTGTGGGTGCTGCTGTGCAGAAGAAGTAGGATACTAATATCAAAACAATGGGTATTGTTGGTGGTTCCATGTAAAAGCACATTAATTAATTTTTTCATGAACATATGACTAGACCAAATTGTTTTCTAAGTATACACCTGGAGTCCGGATTTAATTGCCCACATCTGTGTATTCTAATTGCCTGATACATTTTCAGTGTACCACAGAGAGATGGTCCCCATGAGTTTTATTGTTTATGCAGGTCTATATATTACAATGAATGAGTGTTTATACAGTTCATCCAGCCGAGCCACATATCTTGTAAATGTGCTATTCTTTTTAAGGTTTTGGGTGGTTTAATAGAAATATAATTGTGTAACGTTTTCAAAGAATGAAATTACATTTAAGCAACGAGGACATATTTATTCATCAACCAAGGAAAAGATACAGGATATGAAAAACTCAGTAGTTTTCAAGCTGTCGGAAAGTTGAAATCTTGATACATTTTACAAAGCTCTTTGAATTTTCCTTGTTTCTGTGTTTTGCTTGTGTTGCTTCTGAATTAAACAAATCTAGTTACAGGTTTTGTGCTTTTAAGACTTAGCATCATTTTGGAAGCATCTTGTGTATTCATCAGCTCATCCTAGGCCTTGCTAGTAGCAGACAAAGCAATTAATTGAATTTAAACATTCCGTAAGACATAAATATGTTTAAATTGCAAACAACAGAAAACCTATACAGCGGAAGCAGATTCATGTATTTAATTGGATTCCGTTGTTAATGGACATCTCTCATCCCACATACTACAGATTGTCATTACCTCTAATTGTAAAGTGATATTGAAGTTAAAAGTTTGTAAGTTATTTCATATGCTGATGAAATCACTTACAATGGATGCAGCTCCTTGATGTTTAAACATTTTAGTTTCCTGCAGAATCAGCTGGTTCCCCAAGTACTGGCCCTGATATCCTGTTTTAGGGTGGATCCTTTCCCCTGCAGGGTCCTGTAGCGACACCCTTGTGTGTGCGCTAGTAGGCTGTGTGTCACACACAGACACAGCAAAGGCAAGCTGCTCCCCTGCTCCCTATTTCTTCCTTCTCCAAGCTAGTAGATGGACAACTGCTGAAGACTGATCAGTCCCTTGTGATCCTGTACTGGGCAGGAAGGTCAGGGAAGCGGAGCTAAGAGAGTTGGAGCCAGCTGTTTAGAAACATGACTTTGGCAGAAATATAAAGAAATACTTTGCTTCCATTGTAAAGTATATTTGTTTGCTCTGGAATCATTATTGAAAAACTAATTGAGAGTTTAATACTACTTTAACACTGCAGATATTTGTGTCCAGTGTCCCTATTCATCAGCCATGGTAAATAGCACTGAACTATATTTCACACTTCTGGGTTTTCAGGGCAGCATTCAATTCCGTGCTGCACTTTGTTTCCTAACTCTGTTTATGTATTCATCCTGTTTGATGGGAAATCTGGTCACAGTGGCTGCAATTAATAAAGACAGCCACTTGCAAACACCAATGTATTCCCTCCTGTGTAATCTGTCCATCCTAGATAGCTTGTACCCCTCTGTAACTCTGCCAAAATTATTTAAAATAACTTTAGCTAAAAGAGGAATTATTTCATTTATAGGGTGTATGCTGCAAGCAAATTATGTGGTCACATTTCAGAGCACTGAAGTTTTACTACTGACTGTCATGTCATACGATCGATACGTGGC